GCTGGCTGGAAGGACCAGAAATGCAGTAGTAGTGACTCACCTCCAGAAGTGCGCGTAGCCACCAAATGACCAGCCAGGCTCACCAGATAACATTACAAGTTGAACCAACACAGTCTGTTGAGATGACACAGAGGCGCAAGAATGGTGAGTCAGTAGCAGGCGTCCACGGGTGGTAACGTCGAACCGGTCTTCCTGTAAAGCTATGAAGCTTCGACTCATACCTTTCGAATAGTGTGCATCATAGTAACGCAAAGAAGATACACCTTTGCGACCATTGAGGCATGTTCTCTGGCTTCGTAGATGAATGTCAGAGGCCTGGGCGCCATCCGCTCAGGGATATTGACTTTGGTTAGCGTAGGTATGCCAGGATTGATGACGTAATGCGCAACTAACAAGGGTTGTCGCGAAAGTCATTTGCACCATGATGTAGTACAGATTCATCCTCATATCTATCACATATTCAAAATTCTATTTGAATCTCATTCGATTCAACGAGCCATATATCAAGTTATGTGTCTCTTGACTACATCGTTACTCGGCCCTAGTTCCTCAGGCATTACGGGTCCACGGTACCCAGTCAGCACAAATACTCGATGTCTAACTTCCAAATGCAGTTTCCCCTACCTCCCGAGGCCTTCTTCTCTGTCTTTCGCGTTCGATCGTGAGGGTCTTTTCGTCCGAAGACCTCTCAGCGGTTTCTAAGGAAACGCCTCACTCTTAGAAATAACAACGCCTGGCAAATGCATATTTATCCGCCGGATCAGATTCTCGTTCCACTGACCACGGCTGTCCCGTACCTCAATTATCTCCAAGCCCCTTAAAGAGGCGAGCTCGCCCTCTAGCCCCATGACCATACTCCCCACAAATGTCCTAAGTTGCAACCTCTTGATAGCCTGTAGTTGCTTCTGACCGGTATGATGAAGTAGCTTCCATGTATTGGAACATGCTATCCAACCCGTCATAGCAAAGACGTTGAGAGTGTAAGGCAGCATAGCGGTCTCTGTGTTGATCTGCGAGCAGCTTCCAAGGAGGGCGAGAAGATACCGCTTGGGGCCGGCTCGGTCCCTCATCGCTGTTCTTATCATCTCTATCGGATGATTCATACGTAACACATACTCGTAGATGATGTTACGAAGCTCAGGTGGAAGACGGAGGAGAGGGGAGTTTGCCTGGTTCTCTTGGGTTCTGTTAGACTGTAAGTGAGTTGTAGCGGATGTGCGAACTCTTGAACTCACCGACGTATGCGCTCAGCATGCGAAGTACTCAGGCGGTTTATGTCCTGAAGTTCTCCTGAATCCTCCATGGAAACTCCGTTGGTTTGATTTGGTTGGTTGGGTCTATTGGATGTATTGATTGCCGATCAGGGTATGGTAAAGTGTTCTCGATAAAGGTAGAAGGCAGAAGACTGGCAGATTAACAGGTAAATGAAGGAGCTGGACTAGGTGTGCACGGGCTTATGAAATTTACAAGCAATATACGATCGCATGAAATGACCTGACACCATAGTCTATTGAAATGTGCGAGGCAAGCGCACCTCACCGAACGCAACTAAAGGGATTGAGCTGTCTCCCTAACCAGTGCTATGACCACGGCAGAGGTTCCAATGTGTATGGCGACACAAATGTAACCTCGATATCACCTGCCTGGCCTTTTGCAACTGCAGCTTCCGCTTCTTTCACACGAGCAAACTCCTTCTTGGTGCTCCATAGACCCCTAAGCTCTCCCATATACAGTTTCTTCAACCCCTTGCATCTGCCTAGGCTCCTAAGCACCATCTTCAGAGCCTCGCTTCCACTCTGAAACGCGCCCCAACTTATATCAACCATAATCATCGTCATGGCTTCGAGCTGAGCATGTTTGCGTGAAGCAACAAAACGATCGAGTTCAAAGACGTTATTGAAGGAAAACAAGTTCTCGGAGTATACTAGAATAGCTGTTTCGGAGTAAATTTGACGACAGACGCGCGGTAGGGCGATGTTGGCAGGTGTTGACCGGAAGACGTCGTTATCGCTGTTGAGGTGGCGCCATTCGCGGGTGCCTCCGTGCCTAAACATGGGTGTATGAAGTCAGCGAATGTCTCACATCGTACAGTAATATCTCTTACCCACGGTGTATATACCGGCCGCCTCTCAAAGCATACCTGAAGATCTTGTTTCGAAGTTCGGCGGGAAGACGGAGAAGGGGAGAGTGTTGCGTGTTGGACTTGACGCTTTGGATGCTATTAGCTGTATTCAAGTCTTCTGCTTCTGAAGGGCTCACGTGGAGACGAGGTTTTTTGGTGTTTTCCGCAAGGAGACGAGACCGCCGCGAGTACGATGGACGCGCTTGGAAGACTCCGTGATCGGTTTGGCAGGACGCTTGCGCATGTTGTAGCGCGCTTCAGTGACGGGCTGAGTAACCTCTTCTGGGAGCTTGGGCTTGTTCATAGTGGTGGCAGTTCCAAGTAGAGACACAGAATGGAGATATCGAGGTCAAGTCAAAAGGGGCCGAGCTGAAGTACCGAGGGGGGCTTCCTAGGTACGTCAGCTGATGTCTTTAGTAGAGTGGACCATTCATCGTGCAGTAAGGCAGCCATAGCTGCAGAAGCATGTGTCAGTGTATCGGAGTGAATAGTCGCCGTACTTGCCACTGTGTGTGCTCGCTCAGGCCCTTGGTCGCTTCAACTCATATTCAAAGATTGAATTCTTTTCTACCACCCCTTCTCCAATACCTGAAACAATTCCCTGAACATACACCGAGTCGTTCGGTCAAAAGCCCAACTAAAGTAACTCCAATCGAACGATAAGTACCACAGGCGCAAGACTACCCATGGTTTCTCAAACCCACAAGAAGTGTGATCAAGCAAGCGCCTCAAGTAAGAAGACGCCAGTCGAAGAGCAAAAAGAGGATGGCTTATTGGATCTTTCACAAACGCCAGACCATCTTGTGACGATGTAAGTAAAGACTTTAACGATCCTCATGCCTCTCTAACAGTATCCAGTGCCCAAGACAACAGTGTGAACTCTCCTCTCCTGCGACTACCAGGCGAGCTCCGCGCAAAGATATGGTGCTACGCCCTCGGTGGTATAACCGTGTATCCCAACCTCAAACGATTGAAATATCGCAAATATGGCTCCACATCGACACAACTCTTCAAAAGCAATCTAGGGCAGCTCAGCCTCCCTCGCACCTGCCGACAAATCTACTCCGAGGCTGCTCTGATCTTCTACCGCGAGAACACTTTTGCTTTCCACGATTACAAAGCCTTCAAGCGTTTTCGAGATCGAATCCGAAATGCCCACTTCGCGATGATACGATCCATTTCCGTGAGGACCATTGGCGCTCTTCTGACGTTTCAAAAAGAACTCATGGAGGCTGACAGGTCTCAAGCCTCCTATCAATACTCCAACAATCTCAAGGAAGAGTTTCTAAACTACTACGATCCTATGGAACAGGATCTGCGATGGATCATACGACTGGTAATTCCTGGTCTACTGTCAACATTTCCCAATTTACATAAAATCGTGATTGCGTGTTCTTGTCATGCGAATGGGATTCAGGGGAAATGCAGTTTTGATACTCGAGTTTCGTGGGCGCCGTTTCATAGAGAGGGAGTCGAAGTTGCGTTCCGTGAGTAGGGGCGACTCGGGACAGACTGTGGGGGCAGGGCTCGATGGCTTCATGCGGAAACAACAAAGATATCACTGTACACGCTTGGTTGATGAAGAAAATCGAGAGCGAAACGATTGGGGAAGATATGGCGGCTCAAGACTAGCTCAAAGAACTCTCCCTCCAATACACACACTCTTCACATGGCTCCTCATGTTTACCCCACTCGTGTACGCAACGCATTAGGCCTGAGTTTTGCTGTCTCTTCACTTTGTCCAGGGGAGACCCAACTTCTTCATCTCCACCGCCAGCTGCAGAATATAATCGATACTCTCACACTGCGTCTTCGCCTTGTGTACGTTGTCGCCCCACACGTAGATGCCGTGTCTCTTGACAAGAATCGCGTACGAATCGGGGTATTTCTCCATCGCCTCCTCCAAGCTCTCCCTCAAATCCTCTTCGTGCGCGGTGTTCTCGATGATGGGTATACGCAGACGGTCATAGTAACCTAGGTTACCCTGCTTCCCTCTCCCTTTCGGTATGCCCTTGATCTGTTCGATCTCTTCGATCTCAAAGCACGCGTCTTTTCCGAAATCGCGTTCGACGAGGAGGGTCACGAGGACGGCCCATTGTGAGTGTGTATGGATGCAGCAGCCGGCGCCGCGTTCGAAGGCTGCGAGGAAGAGAGGCGTGCACGCTGAGGGTTTCAGGACCTAGATGCTTCTTAGCTACCTTCCCGTGGTCCAGCATGGCGCGATATACCTGTGGTCTCCTCAAGTACTCCTTGCTGTTGAAGTCCATAACAAACATGTCGGTAGGCTTCATGAGCTCTTTCTGTACGCCGCTGGGCGCAATGTATATCTTGTCTTCATGGCGTATGCTCGTTCCTCCGCCAGTGCCTGTCACCTGGCGGAATCTCCGTGTTAGCCATCACTCGACCGTGTCTTCATTCGCGTCCCCCTGACGCCTGGAGATCATCGTACCCAGCCCAGGCTATAAAACGTTGCGCAGAGCGTGCAGATGTGGTTCGCTGGGTGACTTGGATCATCGGAGTGCACGAGGGCCTCGGCGTCATGTTCGCTGGAACTCATTGTGATGTTGCGCAAAGGTGTTGTCGAAGGGTGAAGTTTGGTGGATTTTCTGGAGCCCAATGACGCGACTTGCGATCGCGACTACCCCACGTGGTCCGCGCTAGTGTGCATCCCACCATAGTCAGGCACAATGCAGACATCAATCTAGGTAGGTCATACAAAACTCAAGGACATGGTTGAAAGAGTGTCTGTGTCTATTAATTGCCAAACAGAAAACAAGGCTGTCTCATATTGAGAGACGATAGCCTGAGGTATCATCGATGTCCAACGCTCATACCACTACCAGTCCTCCAGGAAAGTCGCTTGACTTGGGTATCATATCTAGTTCGTAGTCGTGTTCTGTGCCAAAGGAGATGGCTCATGTTCCTTCTTCTTGTCCAAATGAAGTACTTCCTTGACCTTGTCGCCCAATCCCTTGCGGTCGGGTGACTGGCTGTGGCCGCCATGCTTCTCCTCTGCAGAGGTAGGGGTACGAAGTCAGTATATGTCTCACATGCACTTCGTACAGCCAGAACTTACTGTAGACGTTTCCGGCTCCACCTCGCTACAATTATGTCAGTTGAGGTTGATATTACTCATATAACATGACGTACGCCGGTGTGGAACTCCTCTTGCGCGTTGCGCTGATTGATCTCAGGAACCATGTCTACTGAGCGACGACCTTCGTCAGACTGCGGCCCAACGCGAGGTGACTTTCCAATGTTGCCAGCTCCCCCACGGCCAGTGGAAAAATCTCCATCGAGAGATTCGCCTTGAACGCCCTCGCGAACCATGCCTCCATCAGTGTAGACGTTGGTGTCGGGGCCAATGTTGCCGGCGCCTACGTCAGCGATCAGCTTTTCCTGTTGTTGCATATTGAAGTATCATGCATGGCATACCTCCACGGCCAGTTGAGTGAATTGGGGTAGTAGTCATTCTGATGGTTTAGCTTGCGCAATGATTGTGAAAACAAATGTTGTCTTGTTGAGATGACAAAGAATTGGTGTCAAGGATGTAGGATATGCTAGGGTGGTCGAACGGCAGGGCGAAGCGCGTTTTCAGGCTCTTATATTTGCTCCTCCAGTCCTACAAGCAGGCCATCTCAGAGTGACGCAATGACGCAATCGCATCTCCAGGTGCTCTAATCGATTGGCGACGCGGGATGGAAGTAGTTTCCGAGTTGAAAACAGGCGCCAACAGGCTCATGGCTGCTAGTCGTCCAACTAAGACGTCGAGCCAAGGAAAGATGCGAGCATGAGGTACAAATTTCGATGGTTTTGACTCTTCTCATCGTCCCGTGGGTGTAGTTTATGCGATGGCGTGAGGTGATCTTCAATGTTCGCGCGATAAGGCCGGGTGGATTGATTCGCCCAGCGACTGACTAAGCGGGCTGTATCCCACTGCTCGACCTGGTGATTGCATTCTCACATGTCATCGCCGACATGGACACGGCTTGCTCGGAGGTCGGTGGAAGCTTTGGCGAGAGATGCGCTGCACGAGGATTGCTGGGATCTGTAGTCTTGGAGCTCTTGCCACCCCTAACGCAGGGGCAGGCGACGTGTGGTTCATCAGACTACGTCGGTACACAGATCTAGCATAGAACACACAGAAACCGCCTTTTGGCTTGTTACCCTACACGTAAAGTTTTGATTGCACCATGACGATTTCGCATAATCGAATGCTGGTTTTCTTTTGGGCATGCCTTTCGGGAGAATATTGAATTACGATTATGCGGTACGAAGCGCTCTAACAACGTTGTTTATATAAAGGTTGAGAATCAAGAAAGGGGTATCATCATATCGAACATCTGATACTTCAAGATCTAAGGCCTTGCTCATCACTCGGCCTGGTTTGACCTTCCTCCGCGTTTCTGGCTTGCACTTTGTCTTGGTCCGCATGCTTGGCTGGGTCAAAGACATAGATTGGGAACTCGAGGAAGATGGTTCTCTTTAGAATGACGGGAAGCTTGGCGTATAGCTGTGGCGGGAAAGGTATGAGAATGCTCGTTCGGTGGAGGTATTGCTCGTACTCGGGCCATCGGTTGCCTTTCTCGTATCTCTTCTTTGCGCCAGGCCGTTCCTGCAGCGTAAGACCGGATACGAACATGAGCAGCAGAGTCAGGAAGAATGGACCGAGAATAGACGCGTACAGAGCGTCATATGCACCGCCCGAGACGTAGTTGTTTGCAGCCGGAGATACAGCGATCGTGAAGATACCTGTCATAATCAGTTTTGGTCCTAAGAAACTTAATGAGCAGCACCTACCGAATTGGATGAGCATCTCGCCGAAGTAATTCGGGTGGCGCGTCCAGGCAAAGAACCCGACGTTGCAGACGGCGCCGTCGCTACCGTGAGCAGTACGGAACCTGTACTTTTGGACGTCGGAAACACTTTCCATGATGAAACCGATTGACCACAGGATGATGCCAGCGATATCACAACCTGTTCCAAAGTCTGGCTGATTGAATCGACTGACTTTAGGCGAGTTCAAAATAGTGACCGGCATGGATACAGTCCAGACCCAGAACATTTGACTGTAACCCATCAGTAACGACACCCAGCTTACGTCTGTAGCTACTCACAACACCCAGAATCCCAGAAACGACCAGAACTTGTCCCGCTTATCGTCGAAACGATCGTCTTTGCCAGTCTTGAGAATCCTGAAAAGAAGAAAGCCGCTCAACCTTGCCGCCCACAGCATGATAAACAGCGATACCACAATGTTGCGCGCATCGCCGCGGTTCTCGCTGCACGAAAGCGTGATAATCGCAAGAAGGATGAAGTTGGTGCCGCCGGCAAAATCAGTAAGTTTGTCGAATTTGAACGAGAAGGCGATCGCAAAGCCGATCAGCTGGTATGCAACAGTGACGAGGAAGGTGATGGCAAGATAATAGTCATCGAGGACGTGTATGGCGGCCATGATGACCTCTGGACGATCTGTTGTTGTGTGCGCGGACCTTGACAGCAGAGTTGCGCCTACATATACAGAAGCCTAGAGCTTACAGCTACGTCGCTACATACGGAAGCCGAACGTTCCACGCTGCGCTGGCAAAATTTGGCCGACTCCGACGAGCGAGAATCGTATTCTTTGCGATGGAAGTTGGCCCCAGGGGCTGGCAAGCGTCAGGCCCAGGGTAATGACGCACGTCATCGGCCGCCAAGCCACGATTACTAGGCACGACTTTCTCCCGCGATCACCAGCCCTACGCACATGCTTCACAGCACAACGCGACTTTGCAACCTCGCGATTGATAAGCCTTTTCTATCGCACGGCACTTGGGCGGAAATAGATCGGTAATGGAAGATCGATTTCGTTCATGCACGAGCGGAAGGAAGAAAACGCCATGTTCCACAGAGTGAAACGCCTCCGGTGTGAACCCCATCGCCTCGCGCACATCGCGTGTCAGACTACACCACCATAGCGGCTGGCCAGACGATCGTGAAGCTTGACTACCACCAAAATCGCTTTTCGCGGGCCTGTCGATCATGGGTCGCGCGTTACTGGCCTGGAACAAACCCTGATGACTAGGCTGACCCGACAATGCCATCACCGGCTGCACTACTGCGCGCTGGGACTCCATTTGAGGAACACCGTTCCGACCCTTGAGACGCACCTGAACACTGTTCGAGTAGCCGCGAAGGCTCGAAACCAGCACCACACGGTTAGAAACATGCTGAGCGGGGCTGACATGTCGGACCCGTTAAGTAGGATAGTTTTCGCCTCAGTCATGAACCTTTGAACGGTTTGGCACGCTCTCGCACTATCGGAAGCTTACATTCGTTTGCATCCGGACTATCTGTTTCCATTGTGTGTCCACACGTTTCCGTTCCATCTTCAACTCTTCGGTCTTTCTGCTGTGCAGGTACTGAGAAGTTCTGCATGTCTGTGACATTGCCTTCGATTCTACTCCAGCTGGACTGTTGATGTACTAATTACTAATTTTCTTTCTATCGTTTCCGGTTCTCACTTCGTCAAGGATTCTACAATGGCTAGAACTCGATTGTCCTGGGTACCAGCCCTGCTGCTCATGAGTGCAGTACGTATATCATCTGCTTGTAGGGACTCTTCACTGACTGCGTATAGACGGTCACTCAGGCAGTACTTGATCTTCACAACACTCACATACGAACCGAAGTCTCGGGCAGACGTATCGACAACTTGGTATCGGGACTCGACTGGCAACGACGGGATACAGAAGCACTCAACGTACCTGCTGCCGAGCAAGCCAGTGCACTGGACAATGGAAACATCGCCGCCAGGCTTGCACAGAACGGCCTGGACGCAAACGCCTTGTTGAATGGGCTCGCGCAAGGCCAAGGACAAGGCCAAAGGAGTGGCAACGGAGACATCAACACGAATGATGTCGGCGGAGACCTCGCAAACCAGATCGCCGGTGGGGGCTCCACGAGCGTTGACGATATCCTTATTGGGCTTAATGGGCAAAAGCAGAGTCCATCGACAAACCAGACTAACAACCCGCAGCCTCAGGGCCAGAGTGGTGCGCAAGGAACGCCACAGGGTGCCGACCAAGGAGCAGCAGGTGACATCAAGTCAAGCGACATTGCTGGAGATCTTGCAAACCAGCTGGCTCCCAAACCCGGTTCTAGTCAGAGTGGCAGCGCCGATATTGCTGGAGACCTAGCGAATCAACTCGCACCAAATGGACAAGGCCAACTACCATCCCAGTCTGGAGCACCACAAAATGGTAGTAACTTTCAAACTATTCAGATAGTTCAGACTATCGTCACTCAACCCAATGGCCAGGAGATTGCAGCAACGCTTGTCGAAGCACCGCCGCAGGGCGCAGCCGAAACGACACCTCCCGCTGGAGAAGCGCCAGCAGCAGCATCGCAATCAGCCCCAGCTGAAGCGACGTCAGCATCGTCACCAGCAGCCGGAGAAGCCACTGCCATATCGTCGTCAACCGCCGCAAAAGCACCAGCTGAAGCATCTGCTTCAGCACCGGCGGAGGCAGAGGCACCAACTACGTCGTCTTCAGCTAAAGGGGAAGCACCGGCAGAAGCAGCACCGGCATCGTCACCAGCCAAGGGAGAAGCATCAGCTTCGTCATCAGCTGCCGAAGAAGCCTCAGCTACATCTTCGAAGGCTGCGGCCGAGGCACCAGAGGCTGCCACTGCATCATCATCGTCCGCCGCCGTCGAGAAGCCGGCAGAGGCTTCCGCTTCGTCAAAGGCGGTAAAGACAGTCTTTCCCGCTGGGAAGTCTGCTTTGCCAAAAGTGACCCCTATTCCCTGGACGAATGCGCCTTCCCAGATGGGAGGTATGGCTGCTGGAAACTCAAGCAGTATGGGTGCTAAGGGGGCCGCTATGCCCGCTGCTGAGCCTATGCAGACAGCCAGTCTAGCGGAAAGCAAGAACTCTACTGTACGTTGTTGTTCGAGGTCTCAATATAGTCATCGCTAACATTACCAAAGGGTTCAGCAGCCGCCATGGCACCTGCAGCTGCTGTAACTGTATCGGCTGGATCAGAGCTCGCAGCTGGCGCTCAAGGTGCTTCAAACTCTACTTCCGCCAGTACTCCAGCGATCGACTCGGCCAAGCTTACGGCCGGAGGTCTTGCTGCAACAACAACAACTGCAGTAGGCATGGCAGTCACAGTCAAAGCCGATGGAAACAGTACTGCTGGAGTTGCTAGCGCTTCTGGTGGAGGTGGAGCAGCAGCCGCGGTTACTGTTGTCGCCGGTTCAGGATCTGGAACGAACGGTACCGCATCCTCGGGTGGTGCAGCAGCCGCGGTCACCGTTGTCGCAGGCGGAGGAAGCAATGGAACTGCCGCTGGCCTCGCGGGAGCTACAACTACCTCGAAAGCTGCGGCTGCAGTCACCGTCGTCGCAGGATCTGGTGGTGCAGCCGCTGCTACAGCAGCTTCTCAATGCAACTGCGCTTGCATGTGTCCGGCTGGATCTTTCCCCATG